GTTACTTAATTAAACTACCCATTTGAACCTTTTCAGAGACTCCATTAGTCTCTTCATTTAAAGCTCCTCTCCTGGGCGCGAGAACATCGAATACTCTAATATAAGCAAGGAATACAGAATGTTTCGTTACGTTACTTTGTTGAGAATGTGGCCATGTAATACACGGGATCATTTGCAGCGACTTGGTCATTGTGAGGAAAAATAACACCCATCCTGATCGTTTCAATGAAGTTGAATACAGAATATTCATATTTGTCAGTGATTTCATGTCAATTCGGCGAACATAAACATCAATGATGATGATTAAATTAGGATTAAAAATCGGGAGAGCCGGCTCGTTCGTTTATTTCGACTAAACAACATTATGTTGTTAAATAACAACATGGTGATGTTTTGTAAATGATTACATGTCTTATTTAGCACAGACTATGATCCTATCCGTGACATATGGATCTTAACAACAAATAAGTTGATTTCACATGACTCCAGTGTGGAACCCCACTGCACCCCCTGGTGGATCATTGATCCATTGCAGCTGGCTTCACAATAATTAAATGTATTTATCACGGGGGCGGTATCAAGTCAGACTGGGGGCCGGCCGGCCATCACGGAACGTGCACGAACCGATCACGACCCTCGCATTTTAAACTGTCCAAAATAAGACGCTCCATCTGTATAAACCTAGCATTTAGCAAAGCCATGCAAAGTTTTCGCTCCGGGCTTGCCGAAGGTGTAGTGCGTCTCAGCTGACGAAGATGTGCGTGTTGAACGCCGCGCGGGCCGGGAGCAGTCAGTCGGGCAGGAGGAGCTGCCAGCGGGCCCCTCAGAGTCCGGAGCTCCGGAAAAACGGGGCGAATCCACCGATCCCTCACTTGGCGTGCAGCGGGAGGGCCATGACATCCGAGGCGTGGATAATTCACAGAAGAAGCCGTCAGGTATGCCTTAAGATGGACCAGTGGACGGCGAGGCAGGATGCAGTGTGACCCGCGTAGGTAAGTGGGGATATCCGACAGTAGAGGGGGGGGGGGACGATTTATGGTTGCCAGATGTAGGTTTGGGCAGCAATATCAACTCCAGTGAGGGTCTGAGGTGGAGGAGAGCTTGGCGATCATAAACGAGCAGAGCAGAGACATTCTGACAAACATAAAACAAAAACAGGACAGCTAAAGGTAGAGAGCTAAGCGAGCGGCGAGCCGACACAGGCGCCATCTTGACTGCAGTGACCTTGCCCAGTAAAATTCAACCAGAAAACATCAGCCGTTAGCTGTTAGCAGTTAGCAGTTAGCACACAGAGCTCACAGCTCCTCATATCTGTTCAGAAACTATACAGAAGTTAAAGAAGAACAAACCACAGACTTTCTGTGTCATGGCGAATACAGTCGCTGGTTTATTTATGTCTGTAGGCCGTTGTTGTGAGTGTGGACGGACGTTAGCTTAGCTTGATCGATCCGATCTCCATTCAGAAAACACGCATTTTAAAAGGTTTTTCGCCTGCCCTCTTGTCTGCAGACTTGTCAAAGCATTAAAGGACCCATGTCATGCTTTTCCGGTTATTACCCGTCCCCTTGTGTGTTATGAAGGTTTTTCTGCATGTGAACGGTCTGCAGAGTCACAAACCCTGTAGCGAGTAACACTCTAACACAGAAAATACCTGTCTATGCTGCCCCACAACGCCTCGTTGGACATTTCTCTTTTTCCATTTGTTTCTTCCGGGAACCGCATGACGTCATGCGGTTCCCGGAACCAAAATGGACCAATCCGTGGAGCTCCTCACACACCAGGACCTTTAGCGTACATTTTCAACTAACAGGGAGTCCCATTGACTTGCATAGAGCTACCTGGTTGGTAATAGACGAGTTGGGATGGTGGAGAAATGCTCTCCGCAGACCCATTCTCACAGCGTTTATAAACCTTTTTCTTACTCAATATCAAGCCACACTTATTGTTTTTACTTCGGCTGTGAGTGTTTGTGTGTGCTCAGGATGAGTTTCGCGCTGTCCCGCTGTATCGCCGACCCGGAAATCTGTCCGCTCCTCGCAGCAGCTCGAGCTCGCAACGTCCCGACCAATCAGAGCACACTGGGCTCGCAGGGAGGGGGTGGGGGGCCGGAGATCCATCAAGCCGTTTAGGACAGAGAGTGAATACACATACTTTACAGAGAGGCTGTATAAGAAACCAATGTGAGTTTGGAAAATTGCACAGTATAAATCTATTCTAGTATACCTCAACAATGGAATTATGATCAGTAGAAATGGCCATGACATGGGACCTTTCATTTATGGTTTTTGCTAACCGGTATGAGTATGTTGTTACTTCGGCATCATTTTGAAATGTGTATTACAATTACATCACGGTAAAATATGTTCATTTTGTTGTAGTTGTAGCCCCCTAGACAGCGCGTCTTGTTTGAATGATGCGAGTAAACACAGCTGACAGCCGCGGTGAAACTCAAGTGTTTAGAGCGATGCGATAGGAGCGATTAGAGCGAAGCAAATATTTGCATCGCGTCCGGTGTGAACGCAGCATAACACACTTAGCTAGTTTATCTGGAACTAGCTAAACTAAGAAATATATTTATTCTTTACTGTCAGGTCACTTATTACAGGTTCAGCGAGCTGCACGAGACTGACGGGCTGTCAGGAGAGGGAGAGGAAAAGAAAGCACCCTGTTTCTTTTTCCCATTTTATCATACAGAATTACTGTAAACCTTTGAATAAAGTAGTTAATCTACTATTAGTAGTTTGTTTAAATGCATTACTTATGTTGTATTTTTTCATTTATAAAAAAAATCACACGTACCCCCTGCAGTACTCCAACGTACCCCTAGGGGTCCGCGTACCCCCATTTGAGAACTATAATGTTTTTAATACACCCCGCAGTCTCGCATCGTATGCTTCAGCAGAGAACGGGCCGCGGTCGTTGAATTTCAACGCAGCGGGGAGCATTCACTCGTGATCTCAAGTCGTCTACTGCATAAGTTTAGGCAGCTCTATAGACACATAGTGCACATAACTGGTACGCAGGTACGCATGCGCGGCAACAATCTGAAATGCGTACCGTCACTTGTGTCACAAAGCGCATTTGCGTACCGACGTACTTGTGAAGCTCTTCCAGAAGGCGGCTAGATCACCGGACGACAGAGTCGGTCTCCGTGTGCACAGACAGGGCTGCTGTTAACGTCGGTCTGTACAGCAGCCCTGCGCTAAAACAGCTGTTCACAACGTCCACACGCTCTGCGGTCACGAAGCTCTGTACTCCACTAACAACCCCCCCCCCCCCCCCCCGTTGACAATTGCGAAGCGCTTAACTCCACTACCCCCCCCCGTTGACAATCGCGAAGCGCTGTACTCCACTACCACCACCACCCCCCCGTTGACAATCGCGATATAGAGGGCTTCATGGGAACTTTGAGGGGAGCCAGAAGTTGGAGTACCAAACTTCTCATTTCATCAAATCCCCCTCCTCGACTCCTCGACTCCTCGGTCCTCCGGTAGTGACCCGGAAATGAATTTTAGCGCGCCATGTTGAAGGACATCTCATTTCTCTAAATGCACATCGAGGACCGAGCATCGAGCGTCGAGGAGGCTCTCTGGAGGAGCTATAACCGAGGATACACTGATGGGTCCTCCACGGCTCCTTCGTGGATGCATTTCCGGGAACAGAGATGTTTCAAAGAGTCGAGACGCACGGCCGGACTTATCTCAGCCAATGACAGCTCTGCATGCATCCCCTGGATATTATTTTAGTAACTGCTTTCATCGCAACACGATGTTTACAGAGAGAACAGCTGTGAGGTCCGTGCAGAAAGCAGAGCAGTGTGTAAAATATAAATCACTCAGTATAACAGGCCTACTCTCTTTATTTGCTTTAGTTTAGTAGATATCTACAAACAAAGAGTCGATATTTTTCTAAAACCATTTAGTGCTTCACATAATAAAATACACAACGGCTGTAGCCTGATTATGCTTTAGGAGCTGTAGGTGCGTGTGTGTGGTGTAGGTGTGTGTGGTACAGTGTGTGCGTAGATGCAGCGGACAGACAGGTCTCAGTTGGTTTGGTGTCCTCTGCTTACTTGTAATACTTGTAAATAAAACTTTTGGCCCGGCATTTATTTCCCTCATTGTAGCGACCAGAGAGGGGAGGGGGGGGGGGGGGGGGGGATATATCCAGTCTCTGATAGTGCTACGTTATTATGAGAGTGCTCTGTTTGATTCTGAAATTGTATATATTTATATAAATATATATATATATGTGTGTGTGTGTGTGTGTGTGTGTGTGTGTGTGTGTGTGTGTGTGTGTGTGTGTGTGTGTGTGTGTGTGTGTGTGTGTGTGTGTGTGTGTGTGTGTGTGTGTGTGTGTTGTGTGTGTTCTGTAGCCTGTTATTGTCTCATTATACCGCACTGTGAATGAATTAAAAGTAAATATATAAGTCGTCATGAACACATCTGTCCATCAGACAGAGGGCTGCTGTGCCTCCTGTCATCATTAATGGACGTCTCTTTAAAATGACCGCTCAGAGGAGAGGAGTTCTCATTTCTCTAACCGCCTGCTGCTTCCCCTCCTCTCTCCTCGGTTCCCCTCCTCGGCTCCTCCGCTCGCATCTCCTGTGGGCGGGACTAAGTCTCGAGGATAGGAGTCGAGGAGGGGAATTTGATGAAATGAGAACGGCCCCAGGTACTCATCTGAGTACCTCACTGAGAAAGTTGTGTGCACCCCTGTCTATAGAAGTCTATGGACATCCCTGATAATGTTGAATCTTGACGCTAAAGGGCCTCCCCGTGCGAGCATTCGCTCGCGATCCCAAGTCGTCTGCTACATACGTTTAGGGAGCTCTATAGAAGTCTATGGACATTCCCGAAAGTTGAAACTCGATGCTAAGTGACGACAGAGACCCTGACATAACGCCAACATAGGCCGAGTTGGGAGTGAGAATGTGTTGGCTGATTATGATGAATATCCTCATTTTAATTCCAATCAACAATTACTAACAATAACATTACTTTTGTTCAGAGTGGTGTCCATCAGTGACGCCAGCAGGTTCAAACTTCTTGATGAGAGTCTTTACATTTGTTCCAGGTTCATTTCCAGGTCTCTTCACGGAGGGAGGGACTCCCTCCTCTTGGTCCACACACTGACTCATATCAGTCGTACCTGCAACAAACACAACAACATGCTCATTACTGCTCCTTCCTCTCTATCACACACTGGATCTGGGAATGAACAAGAAGGGACAAGAAGGGAGTCTGAAGTGTGTTTATCAGCACTATCATGAATGAAAGAAGTTAATGGACGAGTGGCATATTTACTGTGAAGGTTAGGGTTAGGGTTAGGAAATGATATACTTTTTTTTTTCCTCTTCATAAGTTCTGCCACTGCAGTTACAAAGTGTGTTCTCTTGCATACAATAGGCATTCAATTGGGACATACTACTTCTTCATAACATTGCACCTTTACCCTCTTTTTTATCCACTGCAAAGGATTGTGGGTCAGAATAGCCAGAAAAGCATGCTGGTTTACAAACTACAAATGCAACCAGCTGCAGTTGAACATCCTGGTATTCTGGAGTCTTGGACAGGATGCAGGGACCCCAACCAACACACTCTCACTCCATAAACGTCCAGGAGCGACGCTTGGTCAGGGTCCCGAGGCGTGCAGTTGTGACGCTCCTAGGCTCCTTCAGCTTCATAAACAGACGCAAATAGCTTTCAACTGATTGCAATGTATTCCCATCTGCGGCGGGATTTGACGCTCATGGAAGCACGGCATTCGTTTGTGTCGGAGGCTGTTAAAGGCAATGTGAGTGTCCATTCCCATTGGATAACGGAGAATTGTACACCCGGAAGTAAGTATTCCCCTTACTGTCGATTGATTTGACAGTGATATCTCCACTACTCATCAACTCAAAAACACCAGATTATCCTTGTTAATTAAACGACATTGATAGGTTTTAGTGTGTGTTCAATGCTTTTGTCACGTTTTCCCCTTCAATTCTGAGAAACAAGTCGTTTTGTATGAGTTTCGGATGGCCGAAGACATTACATTACCCACAATCCTCTGTAGCAACCATAGACTGTATAAAACAATTAAATAATACATTATTCCGAGTGTGCTTGCTTTTCTCTTTGAAAGTCATCACATAACGGCATTGTAATACACGTTTCATCTGCATTAAATATGACATATCTGCCGTAGTTAACTCTATGTATAGAGCCCTGAAGAGAACACTTCTAGACAAACAGGAACTGCCGCCAAAACTGCAAACTTGACGTGGATCTTAAATATATAAGCAATTAAACAACATCTTACATTTCTTTTCACACAATACGTCTCCTTGCAGTGTCAACACTAATTCGGCTGACTTTTATATTTGATCCAATTGGTAGATAGGCTGTATTTACGCCATAACGGTGCACAGCTGATAGAAAAGGACACCTACTGGTTAAAGCACGTTATTGCATTTTATAATTGCATTATTGGATATTAATAGGATCCCTATAAAGTATATTCTTTAGTCGTCGTTATTCTCTACTAATAGTTAATTAAAGACTGTACAGTATATAATGACTATTTTGCACATCCCTTTCAAGATTTCAAGATTTTCTAAGGTTTATTGACATATCATATTATACACAACTACGGGTTGCAGGTTCCTCAACTGTGCATTACAAGACATCTATCAATATGTGTGTACCTCCACCATTACATTGTCATATTCTGCACATTTCTTATACTATCTACATACATCTTATAAGAGTATAATACATATGTATAATATCAGTTAAAATAAGTGCTTAAACATAGTTAACATTGCAGGAAAGCAATATATTAGACGTTAAGTACTTTGTCAGGCTTAATATTTATCTGTAGATACAAATGTCACTGTGTGTGCTGTGTGCTCTGCATGTGTGACCATCAAAGAGGGTTTCATCCCTCCATATTCATCTTCTATACCCCCAAAGCTTTTTTCTTATTCAAAAGAAGACCTTAACCTAAAGTATTCTTTAATGTTTAAATAAAGCCTTATTAGTTTGTCTGTTTTGCACATCCTCCTATTAATATCTAATAATACAATTATAAAATGCAATAACGTGCTTTAACCAGTAGGTGTCCCTTTCTATCAGCTGTTCAGTCAGTTTAACTTAGTTTAAAGACATTAGAACTGTCAGAAAACACCATGGAATACTTTGTGAATATGATATTTTAAAGTAAATAAACAGAGAAGAAGAACACTAGTGTTTAAAGGGAATGGGCTCTGGCTGTATTTAGAGACTGGTTGATGGGAAATACAATTTAAACAGACCTGGACAGTTACTGAAAACCTGGATCAGTGCTGCTGTCATTTGAAGTTACGATGCTGCAGTTCAGACGCTGATACTAGAACAGAAGACGGAGCCCTCCACTAACATATCTCATGCTATCACAAACATCCCATCAGAAAACTCAACGCTCCATCAAACCGTTTCAGATACAAAGTCCAGCTAACATGAGACTCCACTGGAGCGTCTCTGACTGCAGTATCAGTAAAGACATGAAGACCCTAAACACACAGTGAATGTGAGGAGACCACAAAGGTGTTGTATCACATCTGCTGTTTACTCTGCTATGTTGAACTTTTTTTTGTTTAAAACACGTCAGTCACGTTGATCGGAGCTGTTGGACCGGATCAGTCACTGCCTGCATGTCTCACTGCTGATGATATCTCAGATTACAACAAACTGCTGCCAAAAGCTGCTGGCACCATTACAAGGAAGTCTTTCTAAAATCATTCTTCTTTAAGTCCGAGGGACGTTGTCCAAAATACTTCAGAATAGATTTATAGAATCAGCATCAGGAAACATTAGTCCTGTCCATTTAAACGGTGATACAGAACAATTTGATCAAATTTACCCTGATGATCAAAACACCTACAGGTTCATCTGGTAGGATTCTCACCTGAGGAACTGAGTTTTAAGAAACAAAAATACTTTGTCAGGTTAGGTTACTTCTTGGTTGGAATTATAATCTCAAATAAAAAAGCATTTCGATCATATAATCACCTGCTGAATTCCCTTCAGGTCAATTGAGACAGCTTCACATGAGGAGTAAACTCTTCCTCGTCAGTCAGAAAGCCAGTCAGTGAGAGAGGTGATGTAGTTCTACCAGCTGTCCACTAGGTGGTGCTAACGGACCCTCTAATGAAATAAAGCTCAGCACTAACACATGATGAAGCAGCGTGGATCACGTGCACGTGTGCCTGATCGGACACATTATATTACATTTAGCCGACGCTTTTTATCTAAAGTGACTAAAAAATGTACAATAAATCAAACAAACTATAAAGAGACAAACTAAGAACAGCAAGACTCCTGCAGGTACGTTCACTTCAAACATCCCAAACTTTTTTAAAGTACTAAATACAGAATGAGAAGTTTATTTATTTTTAGGCCGAGATGCACATTGTTAATAAATGTAAATATTGTTGATAAAAAATGATCAGTTAAATTCTCAAAGAGCAACGCATCAAATGGCAATACAGATTGGGACTAATGTCGATGGGACTCAATTTCAAAGGAAACCAATGTTGATAAATCGTGATCTTCTCGCTCCCAGGAAAGAAACTTAAAATAACGAGACTAATGGAGTCTCTGAAAAGGTTCAAATGGGTAGTTTAATTAAGTAACGTGGTTGAATAACAAGCATGGGTAATGGAGAGACAAAGCCGGCGTTGTCTTCAGGGAGGCTGCAGCGAAGAAAAGGGGCGAGCGGTCCTCTGTCCGCTGTTTTTATCCATGTCTCGTCGTCTCCCGCTGTGCAAATAGTGGGTGGCCCCCTACTCATTTGCCGGTTCGATATCGCGAGAGCACAGATGATTTCGACATTGATATTCTCTGCCTACTTCCTTAAGCATTTTCTCCTCATTATCTCTGTCATGACTTTCTATTTAATACCTTATAAACAGCTGTAATACTTAGTTTAGAAGTCCTAGTGGTTCCGCTCCGGCAGTTCTTATTTTACGGAAATTCCCTCTGACGTCATAGCTTCTCACGTATCTGTAAACACTACGATCAACTAGACCATTTAATATTCAGCAGTAATAATATCTTAACGTCTATCGATGTAGTGTTAAAGTCCGTACGATTTGGTGTGTAACACTCCAAGTCATTTTCACTTTACATTCAGAAAACGCAACATTAGTCACAAGCTAACCGGATAAAGGATTTTTCAGAATAAAAGCTTGGCATTGATTTCCTGAGAACTTCCGGGCTTTTCCACAATAAAACAGCTTTAAACTGACGATATGTTTTAGACTGAATTATGCTGTTTAACATTGATTTTAATTTCTAACAAAACCAACATCAAAAATCTACTTTTGACTCAGCCGACTGTGACTTCAGAAACAAGCAGGTATATTTTACATGATGTGCCTGCATGAGAGGAACAACACTGTATTTGCTGCATTGCTAAGTTACGTACTGGATTCTGATTGGTCTGTTCTTTCTGACTTGGACAGGTACAGAAAACCTGGATCTGTGCTGCCGTCATTTTAAGTCACGGCTGCAGTTCAGACGCTGATAATAGAACAGAACGACGGACCCCTCCACTAACATATCTCATGTTATCACAAACATCCCATCAGCAAAGTCAAACAGTTTTAAATACAAAGACATAAATAATAAGACATAAAGGCCCTTTACACACAGGTATTATATCACGTCTGCTATGTTTCAATGTTAAAACATTAAAAATCAAACAAACATGTCAGTCATGTTGATCTGAGTTTTTAGACCGCATCAGACACTCCCTGCTTTTTTCACTGAAAATATGAACTCAGATTCAAATCAAACTGCTGCCAAGAACTGTCGCCTTTACAAGGAAGTCTTTCTAAAATCATTCGTCTTTAATTCTGAGAATAATTCTCTACTTTGGAATAGATTTATAGAATCAGCACCAAGAAACATTTGTTCTGACCAGTTAGCACGATGTGATCAGAGTGATCCTGATGATCAAACATTTACAGATTAAGTTTAATTAGGTCAAGTAACTTATTGGTTGTATCTATCCCCAAATGCATAATAATGGACCTAACAAACTTACAAACTTACAAAAGTATCTAAATGATATTCTCACCTGCTGAATTCCCTTCAGGTCAATGTAAACGCCTGCGTGTGTGGAGGAGACTCTGCTCATCTCTTCCTCTTCAGTCCTGTGTCTGTCTGCATCTGATCTGAGGACGCCGTCACTCCCTCATAACTTCAGAGTATAAAAACACATCAGAGTGACGTGAGAACAGGTCCAACGGGAAGAAGAACCAGTCAAGGTGAGAGGTGATGGAGGTGATGAAGTTCTACTAGGTCTCCACTAGATGGTGCTGACTGACAAAACCTTTCAGATCAGCAGGTACAAACACATCGGAGTGACATGAAACCAGCGTAGCCACAAACCTGGAATCTCATGAAGCTCAGGCTGCTAGGGTGATGTTCTTTTTCCACTTCTTCAAACACGCTTTGGCTTGCAAACACATTTTGATATAATGGAAAATGTACTCCTCTGCCCTGTAAAAACTTTGTATCTTCATTTTAAAAGCTTTTCATGTGAAATATCCATATATGTGTTATGTTTAGGCAACCATACTACTTGCATAGGTTAGGTAACTACCTAGTTATATTCATCCTCAAATGTTTAATCCCAAACCTAAAAAAACCTGTAACAAATATTACATTATATTCTGTTACAATACAACCATATTTTTGTATTTCACCCACATATTCTAAAATGGTTTTAGGGGATTTATGGTGGCAAAGATAAATTAAAATCTGTGTTTTTAAATCCTTAAATTATGACAGAAGTTAAAAGGAGAGACTTGGTCATTTAAAAGGAACATTTTGAGCAATTTAGTTCTGTTTTCAATCTACGTAAGGACACTCCTTTGTTTTGGGACTAATTGAGGAATGCCATTTCGTAACAGATAGCAGTATTTGAACCCTGAACACTTAATGCCTGCACGTTACATTAGGTGTTGAAAAATAATAGTCCCTCAGTCACATTGATCAGTTTTTAAGACCTGTTCTGACACTTCCTTCATTTTTCACAGATGACAGGAAACTAAGATTACAATCTAAGTGCTGCACATTCTACTGTTCTGACAACACTAGCTGAAGACCTGGATCACCTGAAATCAAACAAAGAGACAGGACAAGACAATTATTTTAATGTTATGATTGAATATGCAAATGAGGCTTTATGATATTCTAACTTTTGGTGACTTTAGGAAAAATTTACAAACACAAAGATAGAAAATTATAAATAAAATAAAAAGTAAATGTCAACTTTGGATGTTTTCTTTCCACTTGTCTGAAATAAGAGATCACAATTCGAAGTCATTTAGAACCATCTAGTGGGCAGCTATTGGAACTGCATCACCACTAACACTGACTGGGTTTCTGACACCGGTTACACAGGTTTTCACGTCACTCTGTTTGTTTTGATACTCCCCAGTAATTGGTTGAGTACATGTACCCCAGTGATGTTAATTATGCCTGTGATGAGAGGTAAGTAAGTAAGTAAAACTTTATTTATATAGCACCCTGCTCAACACGATGTACAAAGTGCTTTACAGTACTGTACACAGGACACAATTCAAAGTACAACTATAAAATGTAGAATAAAAGGCATAAAACAGCAGCAGGTAATACATAGGATAACACATACGATAAAACACCAGTGAAAGAGAGCTACTAACTCACCTCCTCCGATGCCCCAAAGGCCTGACGGAAGAGGTGGGTCCCCTTAAAAATCTCTATTGAGGCAGAGGCTTTTATTTTCTGGGGGAGTTTGTTCCAAAGCCTTGGGGCCACCACCTCAAAGGCACGGTCCCCCTTAGTCTTTAGCCTGGTTCGGGGCACCCTTAGAAGGCCTTGCTCAGAGGACCTCAGGTCAAATTAAAGATCCGAATTTCAAACCCTCCCGAGAGAAAAGGGATGCACCGTTAGCCTCTTTCGACGACAGAGATTACATGCATGCATAGGCCTAGGGGAGTGCCAGAGGAGTTTAAAGACATCAGATATTGGCGAGACTCTAATCACTCTTCTTTTGGCTAAATATTAATACAAATGTTGATATGATAAATGATATTTATAACAATCAGCAATCGTTAATTACACTCATGATGCTATTAAAGGATCAGCTGATCAGTTCGATGCTACCTCCCGCAGAACAGAATGGCACCAGACATGCTCCTGGCTGAGGAAGGAGGTGTTTGTGATCTGTCCGTGATGCTTGCTGTACATTTATCCCCAACAACACTGTTAGATGGATCCGTCACTAAAGCTTCAGCAGGGCTTCGGTCACTCAGAGAAGAGTTAGCACTCTGGCTAGAAACTTCACCTACAGGCTGGTTTGATGGCATGCTAAATGGAAAGCAGTGACTTTAGCTATTCTCACCTCACTAATCACTGTCACAGGACTGTTGGCTCTGTGTGGCTGTTGCATTATTCCCTGTGTTAGAGGACTTGTTATGAAAACTATCGACAAATCAGTATCAAACACTTTGTTAGCCTATCAACCTCTGAAGACTGAAGCTGACATTTTCTACTCCTCATCCTCTTACAGTTCTGACTTTGATGATGAAACATCTGCGTAAATATATTTTGTTTTGTTTTATTTCCTTCACATAGCTTGCTCATATTATATACCCAAGTGACTGCAATATAGCATAATGTGTTTTCTCTTCTCTCATACACTGAGATGTATTAAATTGAATCCTTGTGAATTTTGATGCCAACGATAAAATGTAGTACTTCTATATTTGTGATCAATATGTAATATGATCAGAAGAGTGGAGTGTAATGGAACATGTTATCATGCTGAGTGAGCATTTAAGGTTCACCATCTGTTCTTCTTTTACAAGCTATTTCTCCCAACAGGTAGCAGTAACATGTCCTAACCTAAATGAGTCGTAAATGGTGTTAGAGCTATTTGTTGCTGATGTTTTTGCTAGCTGGTGTGTTTAAAAGAATCCTATATGTTTCTAATCAGACAGATACACACATGATCAACACGGCTGCTTCATCACATCTCAATGTCACTGCTGACTGTGTTTCATTAGATTGTCAGTTAGCCCCATCTAGTGGACAGCTAGTAGAACTACATCACCTCTCACTGGTTTCTTGCTCTTGTTGGACCTGTTCTCACGTGACTCTGATGTGTTGTTACACTCTGAAGTTATGAGGGTGTGACTGCGTCCTCAGATCAGATGCACGCAGACACAGGACTGAAGAGGAAGACATGAGCAGAGTTTCTTCCACACATGCAGGCGTCTACATTGACCTGAAGGACATTCAACAGGTGAGAATATGATTTTAAAAATGTGGGATTATACATTTGGGGATGAAAACAACCAAGTAGTTACCTAAGCTAACCACAGAGTTGTGTTGACTAAAACTCAGTTCATTGATGAGAATCCTACCAGAGGAATCTGTAAATGTTTGATCATCAGGATCACTTTGATCACATTGTTCTGTATCACTGTTTAGCTGGACAGGACTGATGTTTCTTGATGCTGATTCTATATATCTATTAAGTATTGTGGAGAATGTCCCTCGGAGTTAAAGAATGATTTTAGAAAGACTTCCTTGTAATGGTGCCAGTTTTTGGCAGCAGTTTGATTGTAATCTGAGCTCATCAGTGCTGTGAGGGAGTGTCTAACCCGGATCCACGTGACTGAGGTGCTTTTGTTTATTTTAATCTTTGAAGAGTAAACATACCAGGAATGATGTAAAACCTCTTTGAGGTCTCTCCACATTCACTGCGTGTTTAGGGCCTTCATGTCTTTACTGATACTGCAGTCAGAGACACTCCAGTGGAGTCTCATGTTAGCTGGACTTTGTATCTGAAACTGTTTGATGGAGCGTTGAGTTTTCTGATGGGATGTTTGTGATAGCATGAGATATGTTAGTGGAGGGCTCCGTCTTCTGTTCTAGTATCAGCGTCTGAACTGCAGCAATTTTTTTCGAGAAATGACCCCTTAAATGATGACTTCTGGTGATGTTAGAGGGGGGGGGAAAGGAGAAATCGAGGCTTAAAAATATGAGAAGACTGATCAATACCTCCATAATCTTCAGTGTGGAAAATATTATTTATCAACCTGAACATCTACTACTTTACCAGGAATTTGTGTTCTCAGAACTGGTCTGTTTTTTTCTTTCTTAAAACTGTTCATGTTTTATGAACCAACACCTTCACCAAGTAGCTTTACAGTGAACTGCATGTGAGATATAAAATTAATAGCATCTTTTCAGTAGCATTAATTATAAATATTTAAGTGGTTCAATACAAGTCACTACAGCATTTCAAACTGAACTGTGAATAAATGCAATTTAAAAAAAATAACCACAGCACAAAATGTCATAAATTGTGTTTTTTCTTTGTTTCTCTGAGGATTATTTACAAACAGGCTTATTTACATATAGCAATAACTCAGAAATGAAAAAGCTACATCGTCTAACACGAACAACCAGTTAGCATAATGATAATATATGTGTTATGTACAATGTAACTGGCAAGGCTAGAGCAAGAAAGAACATAAAGTTTGCAAAAGGTTTAAATAACTTCAAGTATCTGTCTTCAGATTACGTGGAGGTTTTAGTCCGATGGGAAGCAGATTTTAAGCGACACCGAAGATAAACCAAAAATGTGGTGGAGCTGCAAACCGTGTAGTGTTGCTGGGACAGAACAGGAGCTATAACCGTTGGAAAATACATCACAGACAATGCAACAAACGTGGAGACAGAACAATCACTTCTGTGATAAATGCCCACTTATTAATAAACTTCTAACAACCATGGGAAACCTCCTCTCTACATATAAAGTGATATCCAAGCATGGGAAACAAAAGACAGCATTTACCTGTTTGCATCCAGCTAGCCAAGCCTTTCTTGTGTACCAGCTACTTGTGAAGCCTCGTGTATAAATTTTGTCTTTTTCACGAGATTGCTGCGATATATTCAAATCGGGTTGGTCCGGTGCAAGGTCTTTAAGCAACAATTTATCTGCCAAACTTCTCCTTTCGAAAGGATTGGAGATTAGCTCATGAACAGAATTAGGCGCGGACCGAGGTCCGGAGACTCCACCTGCACACGAAGCCATCCTCATCAACTACTGCGTCAATCGGATACGAGTCACTGTCCAAACTACTCACAGACTGCACTGGGCGCTGACATTGGCGCCCGG